GTGTCTGCTCTCAGCCGTCCCTCGGTGCTGGGCATCCCAGACCCCAGACTTTGAGCCCAAGTCGCTTGTTGGGAGAGTGCTGGTGGATGCTGTCGGGGGAGCGAGGCTGGTCCCCTGCGGTCACACTGCCCGGCCACCGCCTTCCTGGTGCATGGCTGATTTCTAGCCCAGCGAGAGATCACACACAGACTCAGTCTCGATTCTTTTCTCTCTTTTGTGGATGGCAGCTCTTTGATCTGTTTGGATTTCTACCAGCCTACAGCGTGTGGTTAATTATTTTCCAAACAGCCAATTGCACCGCGGATTACTGGATGGGACTTCAGCTCTGTCCCAGCCGTGAGGCCCTGCCCACCCCGCCTCCCGTTTTTATAGATACCGGCTTCATTTTCTAGGTTACCTATTGTGTCACTTTGACCTCGTTTTTTTATGTTTTAAAATTTTTATGTATTTGTTTGAAAGGCAGAGAGAAAGAGACAGGGCAAGCACTCCGATCCACTGGTTCACTCCCCAAACGCCCACGACGGCCGGGGTCGCGCTGGGGCAGAGCCGTGAGCTGGGGACTCAGTCCAGGACTCCCATGTGGGTGGCGGGACCCGAGCACTTGGGCCGTCACTGCCGCCTCCCAGGGCCCGCGCTGGCAGGGAGCGGGTGCGGGAGTCAGAACTGGGTCCCGAAGCCAGGAACTCCGACACGGGACGCAGGCTCTGGGCCAAACGGCCGCCTGTGCGTGACCTGCCCTGGCCTTGTCCCTGTGTCACCCTGTTTTACTCGCCGTAGCTTTCCCGTATGCTCGGACAGCCCGTTTCAGCCGCTGGCGTGGCGTCCAGCCGGCCCTCCCTCCCCCCGGGTTGCTGGGAGAACTCCACCGCGCGGCCTCCCGGCCCCGGGAGCAGCCGTCGCGGGCTTTCCTCAGGTCCCCTGGCGCCGGCAGCTCCTTTCCGGCTCACTCCTCACCACCTGCGGGAGCACCTGGCTGAGCGCGCAGAGCAGGGCACCGCTCACACCTACGTGGGCCGCGCCACTGTGGCGTGGAGTGGGCGAGGCCGCCGTGAAGACGGGCCATGTCCATGACGTACGGAAGGCAGAAGGCGATCCTGAGAGCGCCGAGCGAGGTGACATCGGCTCCTCGGCAGGAGGGTGCAGGCTACAGGTACATGACGCCTCTCCTTTCACTGGAAAGGCAGAGACACACACACACACAGAGAGAGAGAGAGACAGAGAGAGAGAGAGACAGAGAGAGAATGCTCCCAGGTCCACTTCCCTTTGGGCCGGCCAAAGCCAGCAGCCGGGACCTCAACCCTGGTCCCCACATGGGCTGCAGGAACCCAGATGCCCGAGCCGTCTCTGCTGCCCTCCGGGGTGCGTGCTAGCAGGAAGCCGGAACCGGGACCAGGGCCAGGACCGGAACCCAGGCGCTGGCACCGAATGCGCGTCCCAAGCGCTGTCTCCATCTCTCGGTGATGTCCTGTGCAGAGCAGGCGGTGGGGCTTTTACAACCTTGATAAGCCTGACAGGGTGGGAGCGGAATGGAAGGCAGATTAATCAACCAGGAAGAGGAAGATGCCGAGAGGTTTCTATGCCGAGAGGTTTCTATGCCGCCTCCAGAGGCGAGCCTGGGAGGCCCACGCAGGCGAACAGGTGGGCACTGAGGGCTGGGTTTGCACCCTGAGAGGCAAGCTCCCCATCACTGCCCATCACCCTCCAGGAGGCGGCCCCCGGCCCCGCCCCTCTCCCCCTCCGACATTCCCTGCCTCCCAGCTACCCTGGTCGGTGACAGTCAGAGACTGGGCACCCGGGACTGTCCACCTGCACAGAGACAGCCGCCGGACGCCGACGTGTGCAGCGGCTTCCGGGTCAGCCAGGCCCAGGTGGAGTCTCAGCCTTGCCGCTGGCTGGCTGTGCGGCCCTGGGCCAGCTGCTTGCCCTCTCTGAGTCTCAGCTTCCCCACAGGGCTCCCAGGGCTGTGGTGAGGATCAAATGTGGTAACTCGCGGACACGCGTAGCCCTGGCCCGACGCCCGGGGCAGCCGGTGCGGCTCTCCTCCCTCCTGCCGGTCAGCGCCTGAGTCCCACACGGGTCCAGCCCACCCCAACCTTCTAGCTCTGGCTCTTGGGGGGCACAGGCGACGGCTCAAGTAACCCGGCTCCTGCATCCACGTGGGAGACTTGGATTCGCTGCCAGAGCCTGGGGCAGTGACGTGTGGGTGGGAGCGCTCTCCCCCAAAGCTCAAAAAGAAAGGAGGCGGAACCAGGGCTGTGCAGGCGCTGGGGTGACCCCTCCAAGGCTGTCCCTTCAAGCCACATGCCGTCTAAGGGCCGGCTTTGAGTCAGGAAAACGCCTCCTCTCCCTGCCCCGCGCCTCAGGCTGCAGCGTGGGCCCAGCGACACCTCAGGTGCCCTCCCCGCCTGCCAGACTTGGGGCAGGGCACCTGATGACCAGAACACCGCCGCCAAGGCCCCCCCCCCCCCGGCTCCTATGGCCCCGGCCGCAGTCCTCACCATGCAGAATGGAGCTGACGAAGGCCGATGAGAAATCACAGATGCGTTTGCAAATCCTGGCTTTGATTAACTGAAGGAAAACGGCTTCATTGTTGGCTGGGGATGGGCGCGGCGGCGTGGCGGGGACAGCCGGGCCCGCGACTTCCCACGGGAGCGCTGGTTGGAGTCCCAGCTGCCCAGTTCCGTTCCAGCTCCCTGCTGATGCACCTGAGAAGACAGAGGAAGATGGCTCAAGTGCTTGGGCCCCTGCACCCATGTGGGAGACCCGGATGGAGTCCTGGGTCCTGGCTTTAGCCTGGCCCCGCCCTGGCCGCTGCGGCCATTTAGGGAGTGAACCAGCAGATGGAGGGTCTCCGTCTCTGTGACTGTACCTTTCAAATAATTAAATCTTTTTTTTAAAAAAATTTTTTTTTGACAGGCAGAGTGGACAGTGAGAGAGACAGAGAGAAAGGTCTTCCTTTTGCCGTTGGATCACCTTCCAATGGCCACCGCGGCTAGCGCACTGTGGCCGGCGCACCGCGCTGATCCGATGGCAGGAGCCAGGAGCCAGGTGCTTTTCCTGGTCTCCCATGGGGTGCAGGGCCCAAGCACTTGGGCCATCCTCCACTGCACTTCCCTGGCCACAGCAGAGAGCTGGCCTGGAAGAGGGGCAACTGGGACAGAATCCGGCACCCCGACCGGGACTAGAACCCGGTGTGCTGGCGCCGCAAGGTGGAGGATTAGCCTAGTGAGCCACGGCACCGGCCAAATAATTAAATCTTAAAAATATCGTCAGAATAGTCATCAGATGTGGTGGCTGAACAAAGTGAGGCCACAGGTGGAACTCGTGGCTGGGGCCTGTTTCCGTGACCGCGTCACCGATCACAGTGTGGGCCCGCAGAGCCCCCCACCCTCCAGGGGGTGGGAGAGAAGGGAGGCGGAGGGGGGGGACACTCAGGCTGACTGGCGTGCAGGCAGGGGAGCAGACCACAGAGGGCATGGCCTCTCCCGCTCCCAGCAGGCCGGGGACTTCTCTAGGGACCCCTCTCCCCTTTGTCCCCACACCCTCTTCCCTCCCCCAGCCTGGCCCCTCTCAGATCCCAAAGCCGACCATCACCAGCGGTGCAGACCTACAGGTCACTCCCACGCACCTTGCAGCTGCGATGTGCGCGTGCACAGAGGGCCCGCGGGGTCTGCAGGGAGCCAGGCTGTGCCCAGGCTGCGGCGTCTGCGAGGCCTGCCAGCGTGAGAAAATTGGATCGCGGCGATCATCTCCCTCCCGCCTCTGCCCCCACCCCGGGCCAGCCCCGCCCCGCCCACAGTGGGAATCCCGAGTGTGAGTTTCCTTGCCTGCGGCTGCTCCTGCCCACAGCTGGTGACCATGACTGCGGTTCTGGGCTCCTAAAGCAGGAAGCAGAGCCCAGGCTGGCTCCAAAGGCCGCGTGGGCTGCGGGGTCGGCGCGCTCCTCTCTGGGCAGCGAAGAATCCGAGGTTCACTCTGCAGGCGTGTGGATGCCAGAGGCCCTGGCCAATGTCCATGGTGCCGCTGCGGCTGCACAGCCCAGGTCAGGGAGGAGGTGGTCTCACCGGGAACCCCCTGGGAACGGCTCTGGGGCTCTCCCGGGTGCTTTCTCTGCGGGGTGCACAGTACTGCCCACAGGACTAAGTGACCCCCTGAAGAGCAGAACTCTGGTTCTCTCTGGCCTGTCCCACCCAGAAGAGGGCCCCCATCCTCTTGGGCACTCACACCCGCAGCTCGACGGCAACCCCAAGCCCAGTGCACCCAGCCCTGGCTGCCTCCGTCCTGGGGTCCGCCCTGCGGGAGCCAGGGGAGGGGCTTTCTCTCGCTGCTCCAGCCGGGCCAGGGGACCACAGCTGTGCCCTGCGGCCGGTGCTTTTTTCTGTTGCTGACCCTCCCTCCCGGGCCCAGGTGACACCGTGAGTTCCGGGGTGCGCCCCGGAGCAGAAGAGCTGCAGCCCCTGGCGGGAGGCGGTGACCACTAACAGGGCCGAGTGCAGGGTCTCTAAGCGCCCACCTTCATCCTCGCCACTGTGATAAGCAGGCAGCTGCCGCCAACACTGCTAGTCACTGCCCACTGCCTACACTGAAGCCAGGTGGCCTCCCGTCTCTGCCACTGAAGTGCCAGCCTTGGTGAGGGCCCTGCCTGCGACCGTGTCTTTAAGGACCAGGTCAAAGGCACGCGGATCCTGGCGAAGCTGCCTCCAGGCCCTGTGCCTGCCCAGGACAGAGGGGCAGCCAGCGGCAGCCAGCGGCGCCTCTCCAAATCCAGCGAGTGGGTGGCCTGCCACTAGGGGGCGGCCTCACGCAGCAAACCTGTAGTCTGCGGGCTGGGAACGGCCCACTGCCTTTTCTGAGATGAGAGAACAAGGCATCCCTGCCAGGAGGAGATAAGGCGCTGGGTGGCTAAACGCCGTCATCTCCCGCTGGATGGATGGGGTGTCCGCCCACGGCCATGGCTGCAAGCGTGGAACCGTCGCCAGGAGAACCAGCCAGGAGTCGGCTTGTCGTGTGTATGAAAATGAGTTTATTTACACAGTTACATGATGCCACGGAGTACACAGCAAAGTACCACAGCAAACCAGAGGGTGGCGCCCCGGTGGCCGAGGGGACTCTCGGGGGTGAGGGGGCAGGTGGAGAGGCGAGGCCCTGGGAAGCGGGGACGCGGAGGGACTGGAGGAGGGCTGTCGCGACTCGCATCGCCGGGGCGGCCACTTGGTCTCCGCCCGCAGACGAGCCCTCACCACTGTGTCCGCACGCACAGCACTCTCTGGAACTGGTGGGGGAAGGGATGCCCAGGGACTGTGTGCAGCGTTTCCTGGAGCAGTGTGGTTTAACCTTTCCGAAATGCTACCCTGAAGCCATCGGGCTGGCTCAACATTCAAGTCATCGTGGGTGCAGACACACACACACACACACACACACACGCACACACACGCACGCACACGCACACCCCAACAGGCAAAGTGGGTTCTCTGGACTACAATAATATTCGTAGCAAAATATATAACTCTGTACTTCTGCTAGGTTAAAAAATTCCCGACCTCTTTTGATTCCCTGAAACTTTCTTGATTAGGGAAAAAATTAAAAAAAAAAAAAAAAAGCCCACAAGGGGGTGGGTGGGATGGGTCCAAGGTGAGAAGCTGGACCGTGGTGGGGGAGGGGAGACCCTCTGGGTGGGCCGTCCCAGGCGCGGGGCCCAGCTGCCCACCCCGGCGGGAAGCTGCCCCGGCGCCGCTGTAACAGCCTGTTCTGATCTCTCACGGCTGCGGGGTGGGGGCGCTGGGCGGCTGGGTAGCACCTGTGCGTTCTGGGCACGGAGGGATGGTGGTGACGGGCGGGGAATGCCTCTGCAGGAAGCTTTATAAACATGGTGCAGTTTGCTAAGAATGTCCCAAGGGCTGTTTAAACAAACTTATTGAAACTATCATGACCTCTAGTTTAAAAAAAACAAACAAACAAACAAGGAAAACCCTTCAGCTCTCGCTGTCACCGGGGTCCGGTGCTCCCCAGCTGAGGAGTGGCCGTGGCCGTGGCCGTGGCCGTGGCGGTGGCCGTGGCCAGGACTGCCGGGTAGCAGGAGAGGGCCGGTCTCTTCTCCCCAGTCCTGGAGGGCTCTGTCTGCTCAGGGTTTCATCATCATCTTCTACGTTTTTCTCTTAATTTACTGCATGGGCTTCTTAACGGACTTCTTAACAAGAAAGCAGGTGTTCTGAGGGTTTGAACACCCTGCCGCGGTCCGTGTGCCAGCTCCCTGCCCGTGGGCTTGGTCCCGGCACAGCTCATCGCTGCCGAAGCACCAGGACAGAGGCTGTTTCTTTGGTATAATCTCTACCTAGCGGCTTGCACTGCAGCTCCTCGGACCTCCCTGGGGACCCCGGTTCTGGCCCACGGAGCCCACTCCCAGAGCTCGGCAGGCACGGGCAGCTGGACTTGGGCGCACACATCAGCCGGAGCGGCCCCTCGGTCCGGCCTCGCACAGCACTGCAGGCCTTGGGGAAGGAGCTTCAGTGAGGTAAAACTAACATTCCAGCCTCGTGGGCAGCCGTGCTGCGGCTCATCAGGCTGGACCGGCACGTCCAACCCTCCGCAGCCAGCGAGGGGCGTGGAAGTGGGGCCCTGCGGCCCTCCGGACAGCTGGAGCCGCGAGAAACAGGCGGGGCTAGGCCTGGCCAGCATCTCCTCGGCCCCCTGCTGGCGGGACAGGGAACAGGTCCTAACCGGGGCACAACCAAAGGCCGGGCACTCCTGAGACCAGAGCAAGAATGACCTACATGTGGGAAGCTGCCCGGTGCCACGCAGTGCGTCCCAGGGGTCTCACCTGGGAATTACACGGCACTGGGAACTCGACAGGACAGCTTTAGTTTGACTCCCATAAGTGTCGTGAATGTTCCTCAGGCCTCGGGTGCCTTGGCTGTGGCCCTCCGTGGTCACGAACCGACTCGGAGTTTGGCAGGAACACGGGTCCCCTAATCTGATGGCGTTCAGCCCCCACGGGAGCAGGTGGGGCCGCCGGGTGCCCGGGCTGCCCTCTGCCTCATCCAGCTCACCTTCTGAGGGCACGCCCTGGACCTCACTGCCGCCGTGCTGGCCTCCAGTTCAGACCTGGCCCCGGAGCCGGCGGGGCTCATCCTGGGCTCTGGTGCTGAGGTCCCACAGGTTACTGCGACCTCTCGGATCAGCCCCGGGCCTCCCATCGGCGCCTGGAGACCCGAGGGCCTCCCCGGCACGGCGTCGGGAGCTGCTCACGGCCCCGTGTCCCCCTGCCTGCAGGGCCGGGCGCCGCCCGTTAAGGGCTGGCTCTGGGCGACTCGGGCCACCGGCCACCTGCGAAGCACCTGAGTGTGGCCGAGGCTGCCCAGGCCCAGGGGGCTAAGGAAAGTGCCAGTGTGGGCTTCAGTGCTCAGACTCTCGATATAAACCCAAGGAGCCACAGGACAGACTTCAGCAGCAGAGACAAGAACGCCGATCGCTCTGGAAGACGGTAGCTCAGTGTTACTCGAGGAAACTGTAAGCCTGTGCTAGTCGCAATCCAGAACTCACACGAGCGTGCTTCTGGGACACGTGTGGGTGGACAGCGGGGGAAGCAGGATTCCTCCCGCGTCAAAGAATGAATTCAAAGTCCCCACGGCAGTGTAAATGGAGAGGGAACCACCTGTGCTGTGTGTGGCTGAGCCCCACCCCCCGGGGAAGCAGTCTGAGGACCGTCCCTGGCGCTCCCCACCGTCGTTCTGCGCCCACCACCCAGAGAAAAACCCGCGCGAGGCCCCTCTCTGACCGGCTGGCGCTCGTCTTTCGCCCCTGCCAAGCGTGCATACAGAAGCAGTGCTAGCCGGCCGTGGCTGTGGCTGTGGCTGTGGCTGTGGCTGTGGCTGTGGCGAGCGGGGGTGCTCGGTGGACAGTGCGCTTCGATAAGGTGGGGAGGGGGCCGTGCTGCTTCTCCTGGAGGGTTAAAATGAAGACTGGAGACGAGTCTTAACAGATAAAAAACGAAAACAGAGACATGCCTGGAAACATAACCAACGGAGGGGCCAGGGCACGTTCTGCATTAACTGCGTCACCACATTCGAATTTATGTGGCCAAGGCACCGCGAGAGTGACAGGGAGAACGGCTGCGGGGGCGGGCCAGGGGCTGGGCGGCCAGGCAGGGAGTGCAGTGCACATGGGCTGTGCCACAGCGAGCCCCGCCCCAGCCTGCTGGCAATGACACAGCCACGCCACAGCCGCGCCGGGGCACAGCGCCGCGCCAGCTCTGCAGCCATCCCCGGGGGCAGAGCCTCGCATCCGGCGACAGGAGGCGGAACTCTCTGCGGGCCGACCAGCCCTCTTGGCTGGGAGTCCCCACTGCTGGCCAGGCCAGGACGTGCTCCACGGCGGGGCCTCACACGGCCGCTTCCCCGACAGACAGAAGAGCACAGGGAAATACATTCTTCTCCTTCCTTGCATGCTCTCTGACGCAGGGCAATCGCACCAAAGGCCGTGAAAAACGCACCGGGGTCAGAGCTTCCGAGGCCGGAAGACGGCGTGGTCCGCCTCGGCTCGCAGGAAACCCCGCGCTGGTGGACAGGGCGCCGGGGCTCGCCCGCCGCTGGGCGCAGAGTCTGTGAAGCCCGCCACAGGTTGCTGCCCCGGAGGCCTGGCCCCTGCTCCCGGCACGCGTGCAAGCGTGCGCGCACACACGCGAACACACACGCCGTGCTTGAGCGACTCTTGGGATTTCAAGGCTGAAGTAAACAGATAGTCACAGTTTTGAATAAGACAAGCACAGCAGTGTGTGTACACACGCACGCACACACACACACACGCACACACACACACACGCACACACACACACACCCGGGTAGAAGGGACACTTGTCTCAGCGCTAATATGTGCCAAGGGGCGCAGGAGGGGGTTCCCGTAGCTCTCGCTTCGGGTGAAGTTGCAGCTAAACCACCGTCACGTGCAGCTGTCCAAGGCCACACTCAGATTGCACATGGATCTGCAGGCAGGGCCGCGGCGCTCGGCCCGCCCCCAGCCGTCCTCCACGGCCACCAGGGAGTCAAAGCAGCAGCCTGCTCCCCGCCGCCCGGTCACCCCCCAGCCGGGCCGCCTGCCCTGCAGGGGGATCTCAGCGCTCGGCCGCTTCATTCGGCGCTGTTCTCTATAGCCCTAGGTAGACCAGTTAACACTGGCAACGGACAGCAGGAAGCCGGCCAATGACTGCCTGGGGCGGGGGAAGCCCTGGTCCAGGCCCCAGCAGCCCCGGCTGCCAAGGCTGCCAGCTCTGCCAGCCAGCAAGGAACGGCACTTTGGGCTCTGTTCCCCGCGGGCCCCTGAAGAAGGGCGCCCGTGACCCACCACCTCCTCACATCCCGCCGGCTGTTTCGAGGCCCTGAATTGCACCCCACCCCGTGGAGGCACCGGGCCAGCTGTGCCGGGCCACAGGTGCCTGAGAAACGCACACTTCCCCGACACAGGTGGACAGACCCGGGGAAGGAGGCCTGGCAGTGACAGTGCCGGGGAGGGGGCTCCCAGGGCCGGCCTCTGTGTGCAAGACACACACTTCCGGACGCCAGAGGCGACCCGAGGGTGGGACTCTCGCCTGGTCCCTCTGCCACCTGCTAATCAGAGGCTATGGGAAGGGCACAGGGAACCAGGGGCTGACGCTCTGCCTGGTCCCAGAGTCGAGGCGGGGACACCGGAGTGGAGGGGTCTGCTGTCACTCCTACGGATGTCTCTCGCCAGCGGGAATAAATACTTGGTGCTGACAAGAGACGCGCTCTTCACACTCCAGGAGGAACTGGACGCAGCCTGGAACATGCGAGTCACCTCCTGCCCGCGTCCCGGTGGGGGAGGGGGCACGAGGATGGAGCAGGCCCCGGGGCCGGCAGGTGCACGTCCAGACAGCTGACCCAGCTTTCACCCGGCACGGACTCGTTTGTTCGGGGACGGAGACGGGAGGGTTGTCCGTCCGTCCGTCTGTCTGTCTGTAATTCTGTGAGTACGAGGGAGGAGGAGGAGTGTCAGAACATGAAGAAGGTGAAAAGGTAGAAAAAGCAGCATCCGGGTGGCATTAACGGTGTTGCAGGATCTTCACGATGCAGCCGAGGGAGTCCGTGGTGGCGAAGGCCAAGTACTGCGCGCACAGCCAGTCCTCGAGGCTCACGCCGGCCTCCCTGTCCAGCGACTTCTCTGCGAACTTGATCATCAGCAGCGTCCGCTTGATGTCCAGCCAGTTCTGGAGCAGCGCGCTCCTCTGCGCCAGGCTCGGGGAGGCGCTGAGCGTCTGGAAGAGATCCTCCCGGGGGCCCCAGAGCAGACACTGCAGGATGCCTTTGGCGTCGGAGATGAGGATCCGCTCGGAAGGGTTGGGGTTCAGGAGGCAGCTGGCCAGCTGCTGCAGGCCCCGCGAGTAGTGGGAGCGCAGCGGGATGCGTGGCAGGTCCGCCCGCGTGTACTCCTTCTCCTTCAGCTCGGGGTGCTCGTCGAAGGGGTTGGGCAGGTGCAGCATCTCATAGATGAGGATGCCGGTCTGGAACTCGTCGCACTTCTTGTACTGGGTGGCCGTGATGATCTCCGGGGCCAGGCGCGACTGGTCCCGGAGGATGTCGGGGTCCACCAGGTGGCTCTTCTGCTTGGCCTGCGAGAAGTTGCTCACGAGGAGGCGCGTGGGACAAGACGAGGCGGGGCCGGGCTCCGCGGGCCCCGGGCCCCCCGGCTGGTAGTGGACAAGCAGCAGGTTCTCCAGCCGAAGGTCGCAGTGAGTGACGTGGTAGGGCTTGAGGTGCTCGAGGCCAGAGCAGAGCTGTAACAGCAGCAGGCACACCTGCCTCTCGTACACATCCGGGCTTTTCCCGTGGTGGGCCAGAGAGTCCCGCACGAAGTCGGCCACGGTGAGGTGGGGGACCTCCCGGGTGATGACCACGACGTGGCTTCTCTGCCGCCGGCCCGCGCCGCCCTGGCCCTCCTTCCGGGACGCCTCTGTTTCGGAGCACGGCTCTGGGGGTGTGCCGCCGGTCCCCCCTTCCGCCCCTGCTCCATTCTCTTCCACTTCGTCGTCTTCCTTTCCAGGGGCATCGGGGTCCTCCCAGGGAAGCAGCCGGCTGGGGACCTCGGCCAGGAAGTGGCCGCAGTCCTGCTGGATGTTAAAATGGACGGCCAGGCTCTGCCGGACGGCCAGGCTGTGATAATACTGCTGGGACTCTTTAGCCTTGCTCTTACAGATCTGGAGGGAGAAAGCAGATAACTCCAATTAAACTTCACACTTCCACAAGCTGGCTTCCGATGCGCCCAACAGGCGTCACGGGAGGGGGACTGCTTGTGGGGGCAAACGCCGAGAGCTTCAGAATGGCTCTCGGCAGGCCGGGGCACCTGCTTGGAGCCGGAAGCGTCTCAGAGTTCAGGGTTTCCTGCATTTTGGATATTCGCACCGACTTTTCCAAATGAGCATCCCTAACCCAGAAACCCAGAACTTTTTAGGCAGCGAATTTCAGATTTCGGAGCATCTCGGGTTTGGATTTTCGGATTAGGGATGCTCAGCCAGTAACCGTCCTTCCCGCCGTGCGTCTGGGTGCCAGGCTGTGCTGTCTGAGCCCTTTCTGCTCTCTCTCTGGTCCTCTCGCTCGCCCTTCACCGGAGCCCGAGGATCTGAGAACCAAGAGGAAAGCAGCCTGAGGTTATTCCTTTAGGAACCCAAGTCTGTCTGACGCCAAAGCTCACTCTTTCCACCACACTCTGCACCTTGTCTAGGAAGCAGGACAGAGACAAGAGAGCTGCTCGGGGCTGGCACAGTGGCGCAGCAGCTAAGCCTCCATTTGCAGTGCCGGCAACCCGTATGGGCGCTGGTTTGAGTCCCGACTGCTCCACTTCCGATCCAGCTCTGTGCTGTGGCCTGGGAGAGCAGTGGAAGATGGCCCAAGTCCTTGGGCCCCTGCACCCACGTGGGAGACCTGGAGGAAGCTGTTGTGGCCATGTGGGGAGTGATCCAGTGGATGGAAGAGCTTCCTCTCTGTCTCTCCCTCTCTATAACTCTATCTCAAATAAATCAATAGAATCTTTAGAAAGAGAGGGCGAGCTGCTCACCCATTTCTGTGGAGGTCACAGCCCACGGCCACACAGGGCCGACAAATGCCTCTCCATGTCCGCCAGAGTCCCTCATTCACTACCGGTCACCCTCTGGGTCAAACTTCTCGTTGGCCGGGTCAGCTGGGGGCTCTCGAGACGTCCCCGGGAAGGACAGAGTGGTGGCCGCAGCTCCCTGGCAGGGTGGGGTGAGCGAATCCGTGGTCTGCCCCAGGGAGAGCACGGCCACCATTTTAGCAGCAGCATTCTGAGTTCTAGGCTTGTTTTTCTTTTTTTAAACAGGTCTCATTAACACCCCAAACTCACGCAATAAGACCTTTCAAGAAAGAACTCGGGGTGGGGTGGGGGACCTGTGTGACCACATGGGTTCGTCAGCAGCTGTACACACTGTAACAGACTCTGTTTGTGGTCCTGGTGGGTTAGAAGGCAAACAGCAGGTGACAGAGCAGGATCAGACGAGCTTAGTGTCAGGAGAGAGGCTGGCGAGCGGAGCTTCAGCCTCTGGCGCTCGTGCACAGCGGAGGGGCCGGGGCAGGCTCACCGCAGGCCTCTCAGCCAGGCCCCGGTCTCGGCTTCCTCCACCCCCTCCTCCGGGTGGGAGCCCACCGCGCATCCTGCAGATACCGGGTCTCCCAGCAACGAGCACCCTGTGGAGCTGACGCTGCCTGACTCTTACTTGAACGGTAAGATGGAAAAGCATTTCAGCCAAGTGTGTCCTAGCTATTTTTACCTAAAAAGAAAAATGGATGTTTTCTTAGGGGGATGCAGATGGGGCCCCCGTTCTGAGAAACACTGTGCTCTGATTTCCATTCATTTAACAAAACACAGCAAAATGCTAAGGACCAAAGGAGTCACCAGACATAGAAACACCTCTCTCTCTCTCTCTCTCTCCCTCTCCCTCTCTCTCTGCTGTTTTTATTACAGTTAAAAGGACATGATCAGGGCCATGGAAATACGGACGTGTGTATCTGTCAACCATCCATCCATCCGTCTATCCATCCATCCAGAGTTCAGAAAACAAGTTCCTTCAAGTCTCCCTCCACCTACCCAATCAGTGAGCATCCACCTAGCATCTCTTTGAAGCAAACTTCTGGACTTGAGACAGATGTTCCTAAGCTGGGTTCAAGTTCAAATGTATCTTTTGGAAAACATTACCTTTGGAAAGCTCTCAAAATCTTATATTGCATATTTATGTGTCACCAGGCATTTAAAAGTCCTATTTTATTTGAAAAACCAGTCATCATTTAGTTAGGTAAGTGTCGCTCCCCCTCTTCGTGGAGGAGCAACACAGGACCCTGCGCTGTTCTTTCGTCTGCTCGGCCCTCCCCGGGTTTGCTGCTGGTTCTTCCCGGGTTGGCTACTATCCCTTCCACCTCCGTGGAAGGGCAGTTCCCCCTGGCCACATTCCCCACTTCCGCGGGGGAGCGGCACACCACCGGCCGGCTCTCTCGGAGGCTGCACAGGTGTTCCTCTTAGATGTTCCCCATAGATGTTCCTGGTGCATGCCGTCTCTCTCCTCCTTTATAGTCCTCCTCCGCCAATCCTAACTCGGCTGCCCACACGCCGAGTACGCTGCTCTCCTTCAATCAGGAGCAGGTCCTGCAGCTTGTCAAGTTGGTGAGAGGCAGCTGGGTAGAAGCTGTTGCCTCCTCTCCCAGCGCCATATTGTGGGAGAGCAGATGCATAGAATAAGTCTTAATTCCAGTAACTCAGTCTAGTCCGGTTTGCTCCCCACAGATCCCCCTTTCTTTTTATTTTTGGCGTTGATACGCGCCTGTCTTCGGTGTCCCGCGGCACACACTCTGCTCTACTTGCTAGAGTTGCCACAGGCTCTTACAAGTCCTATCAATCAGGAAAACCGAATCCGGGTCCTCTCTTCGCCATGTTGTGAGGAGGTTTTTAGGCGCTGATGCGTGCCTGTGTTCGGTGCCCTGCAGCGCATGCTCTGGTCGAGCCTGCAGGGGCTTACAAGCCCTAACAATCAGGCAAACCGAATCCAAGCCTTCTCATTGCCATATTGTGGGGAGGCTTATTGGTGTTGATTCATGCCTATCTTCGGTGACCTGCAGCTCATACTCTGGTCGAGCTGCTTGCTGGTGCTTACCGCCTTAATCAGGCAGACCGAATCCAAGCTCTCTCATTGCCATGTTGTGGGGTGACTTATTGGTGTTGATAATGTGCCTGTCTTCGGTGACCTGCGGCGCATAAGCTGCTAGCCGCCCGCAGGTGCTCACCACTTCCCTAATCAGGCAGACCGAATCCAAGCTTTCTAATTGCAGTATTGTGGGGAGGCCTTACTGATGTTAATTCGTGCCTGTCTTCGGTGACCTGCGGCGCATAAGCTGCTAGCGCCGCAGGTGCTCATCGCCTCACTAATCGGGCAGACCGAATCCAAGCTCTCACATTGCAGTGTTGTAGGGAGGCCTTTTTATTTCTCTATTTCTCTATCTCCGGGCATTTCTATTTCTCCCATTTTACTTCTATCTTCCAGCATTCCTATTTCTCTCACTTTACTTCTAAAACTTCTGTTTCTCTTATCCCCGCAGCTTCCCGGCACCTCGCCCTGCCGGCAGCTTCACGGCTCCGCGCAGCTTCCCGGCGCCTCGCCCCGCCAGCGGGCTCCGCCCCGAGGCTGCTTCTCCGCGCCTCGCCGGCTCTGAGCCGCTTCAGCCCGCGCCTCATCTGCGCGGCTTCCCGGCTTTGCGCGGTCCGCGGTCTCCACGCTTAACCCTTTCGCGTCTGAACCACGGCCTACGCCAGCCCCGTTCCCTATCTACTCACGCCCCGTGCTCTCTCTGCACGCGGCGGCTTCCGCGAGTAACACAGCGTAGCTTGCGTCTCCGCCACTAGGATTCAATCTAAGTTCCCCGGGCTAGCCTGGCGAATTCAACCCAGCGTACGTCTCCGCCCCACGGTTTGGCTTCCCGTCCTTTGCTCCCCGGGCTAATCAGACGGATCCCAACCTGGCTTGCGTCTCAGCTTCTAGTTTCAACTTTTCGCCCCCTATTCCCGGGCTAACCTGAGAACCCCAAAGTGGCTTTCGTTTCCGCCTTGGCCTGCCCCCCGCGGCTTCAATTTCCCTAACATTTTTCTCTACCCGGTATGTTTCCCCAAGCTTTCCTCCAACGATATTCCTCCCTCATTTCTCCTGGCCTCTCCCCACAGTCCGCGTCCGAGTCTGTTTGTTCTAGCTTTCACTTTCGCTTTCGACCTTAGAGATTTCTCCCAGCTTCCCCCCGTAGTCCGTATCCGAGTCTATGCCTAGGCTTTCAATAGCTTCTTCCGGCACCCTTTTCGTCCGGCTTTTCCCTAGGCTGTTTGCTAGTCTCTCTCTCTGGTATTTTCCCTAGGCTGTTTGCTAGTCTCTCTCTCCGATATTTTCCTGCTTCTTCCCGTTTCTTCCCTCCTAAGTTTGCTATCCGTCCTAGGTTTCCTATCCGAGTCACGGCACCATTATGTCGCTCCCCCTCTTCGTGGAGGAGCAACACAGGACCCTGCGCTGTTCTTTCGTCTGCTCGGCCCTCCCCGGGTTTGCTGCTGGTTCTTCCCGGGTTGGCTACTATCCCTTCCACCTCCGTGGAAGGGCAGTTCCCCCTGGCCACATTCCCCACTTCCGCGGGGGAGCGGCACACCACCGGCCGGCTCTCTCGGAGGCTGCACAGGTGTTCCTCTTAGATGTTCCCCATAGATGTTCCTGGTGCATGCCGTCTCTCTCCTCCTTTATAGTCCTCCTCCGCCAATCCTAACTCGGCTGCCCACACGCCGAGTACGCTGCTCTCCTTCAATCAGGAGCAGGTCCTGCAGCTTGTCAAGTTGGTGAGAGGCAGCTGGGTAGAAGCTGTTGCCTCCTCTCCCAGCGCCATATTGTGGGAGAGCAGATGCATAGAATAAGTCTTAATTCCAGTAACTCAGTCTAGTCCGGTTTGCTCCCCACAGGTAAGAGCTAGACCTGGCACACGAGGCATCATTCATTCACTCCACCATCAGCTGAAAGAACCTGCTCCATGCCACACGGCCCGCTGGAATGAAAGCTCAGGGTCCTGACTCCTGGGTTTTGAAACGTCTGTGCAATGTCACTGTGCTTAGCTGAGTGAGTCTGGAGAGGAACGGGCCTGCCACAGCAAGCACACTCGGCACGACTCG